AGCAGTGTCGTGGGCTGAGTCGGACTGCTGAGCAGGGTGTCTGAGGAGCGAGAGGTGCGTGTTTGTGTCTTAAGGCCAGTATTTGATTGCTCAGCCCTTCAGGGAGTGATATTGGGATAGCGTGGACCATACGAAGCAATCTCCTGCCGTTCCTTTGTGGGCTTTTACTGGGTGAGCGATGCCTATTGCTTGCAGGACCTTCGCAGTTTGAAGCTGAGACTGCATCCGGGCTTGCCTGCTGCCTTCAGGCTGCTACGCTGTGCTCCAGGGCAGATAAACCACGGCTCTCGTTCTTCTCCAGGCCCACCCTTTGAGTATGTTCTTCTATTTCCCCATCTGTAGTGTGGCAATGATATCCTTACCTTTGCCAGAGGAGTACTGAGTTTGAACTTTGGTTGTTAATCAGGGTAAGAGCCTCTGAAAAATGTGCAGCGTTATCACCTATTGTCATTGTTTCTCGGTGCAATCTGTTGAGCCTTTTGTTGTTGCTGGCTCCCTTAAGTGTGACTAGATAACGTAATCTCTCATCAGCCTTCTCCACCAGCTTGTTCAGTTGCTGTTATCAGGACCTGGCTTGTGACATTGCTGCAGCCCCAGGAGACTGCGGTGACACCACTGAAGTGGCTTAAGCAGGGTGATTAGAGGGCTCCTGACACACGCTTGCCTCGCTGGAGCTTGGTGCCTCTAGACACCACCAGCCCAGCAGCAGGCTCGCAGTGACATGTGGGTGTCGGTGCTTGATGCGAGCGATGGCGTGCGTCTTGCTGGTCGTCGGCGTATCGCTTTGCACTGCAGCCATTTCAGTGCTGCCATGCTCCTGCCTCTCTGGCTGCCGAGGGATTTGATAGATGGAGACGAGAGTCTGAGCTGCGGCCGCTTTCTTGCTCGTCCCACGTGGATCAATAAGGCCCAGGTCTAATGAGAGTGCAGCCGAAGAGAAGAAAACACTTTCTGGTGGAATCTCTTCGCTCTCCAGGCACCAGAGCAAAGCGCAGTGTGTGCACACAGATGCTGCTGTGCCCTCTCCGGGCTGTCCCGTACCCGGGAGGGCTGTCGGTTACACCATCGCACAGCCCCTGGTTTCGGAGGAGGAGGATGAGCCAGAAAGGACAAATCGTTTTCAACACCGCTGACCTTTGCTGTGTGTTCTGGTAGGTCTCTCTGCTGCTTTGCTGTGATTTGGGTGCTCACCTGTACCTCCCCAACACCCCGAGGACCAAGATGTGTTCATGGGCTCTGCTGCAGTTGAGCTGGCAGGTTAGCATAAAAAATCCTGCAGGTTCTGGCTACCCCCTTTCCCGGGAGGAGGTGCAAGAGAGGGGCTGTGAATCTCCCCGAGAAGAGCAAGAAAAGCGATACTGAAATTAGGGGAGAGCAGAGAGCTGTTCCTCGCCTGCGTCGAGCCCTGGCAGCCGTGCCCTCGGCAGTGCCGCCTCGCGGGGGGGAGGGCAGGCAGCCCCCGAGTGCCGCCTCGCGGAGGGCAGGGCAGGCAGCCCGAGGTGGGGGCTGAAGGCAGCCCCTCCGGAGTCCACAGCAGGCGTGCTTAGATGCCACGCTGCGTTTGGCCACTGCAGACTCCTGAGGAGACTGTTTGCAGAGCCGGTGGAGGGGAGCGGGTAGTTCTGCGCCGGTAGTTCGAGGCTGAGTAGCAGGAGGTTTTAAACAGAAGACTGGGTTGAGAAAAATTGGCTTATAGTCCACCCTGCAATTAAGATGTTGACTTCAGGCATGTCTCTGGTCCCCTCTCTAGCTTGGGGACATGGGGACATCTGCTCTAGCTTCTTTTGAAGGTGGTGCCTTCTGTTCTGGCACACTGGGGTTGCAGGGGCGGGGGAGGACTTTTGTGCCAGGCTGGTCCCTGTTACCCATACACTGGCCTCAGGAGCAGCTTCACCTTCGCAGCGGGCAGGAGAGGTGACTAACTGGGGGGCCGTCTGGTCAGCTAATGGGGTGACACACTCAGCAGGACCCTCTGCCACTGTCTGCGGCTGGCCTGGGACACTGAGCCTGGCTGC